AGCTTGCATGATGGTTTATGAGTGGAAGCTTTTAGAGGCTGTGTAGTAAATTCAACTTCATGATCAGGCTGAAGGTGTTTATTTGGCCTCTTTAAATGTACAACCTGTAATACTACAACAAATCAGAGATGCTCAGTTGACTGACTTTACATTATTGGCCATTAGGAAAGACACAAAGCGAAGTTTGAAGCCAGAGTTCAGAGTGTTGAATGATGGGTTACTTAGATTTAATGATAGGTGTGTGTTCCCACTAATGATGAATTAAAGAAAGGCATTTTGACTTAGGTTCATTGCTCTAAATTCACCATGCATCCGAGTAGTACTAAAATATATCAGAATTTGAGACCCTGATTTTGGTGGAATGGTAAGAAAAGAGACATTGTTAAGTATGTTTCTTAATACCTTACTTATCAACAGGTGAAAGCAAAACAACAGCGTCCTAATGGACCCCTCCAACCTTTGCCAATGCTTGAATTTGTGATTGGACTGCCTAGGACCTGAGCAGGCCATAATGCTATTTGGGTGATTGTGAATAGGTTAACTAAGTTCTCCCCCTTCCTGACAAAGAAAATGACAAACTCTTTGGATAAGTTAGTTAGAATTTAAATATGCGAGATTATAAGACTACATGAGATTTCGATTTCAGTGGTATCTGATAGAGATCCTAGATTTACCTCTAGGTTTTGGACAATCTTTCAGCAAGCCATGGGCACCCAACTATCATTCAGTATTGCTTTTTATCCTTAGACAGATGGACAATCAGAAAGAATTATTTGCACATTGGAGGATATATTACGAGCATGTGTTTTAGATTTTGGCGAATCTTGAAATGGCCATTTGCCATTAATAGAATTTACTTATAACAACAGCTACTAGATATACATTGGTATAGCTCCCTATAAAGCATATATGGCAGACTCTGTAGGTCACCCATCTGTTGGGAAGAAGTTTGGGAAATAAAGTTAATTGGCATAGAGTTAGAAGACGAAACTACTGCAAACATTGTTAAGATCAAGAAAAACATTCAGGTAACCCAGAGTAAGCAGAAAAACTACGCGGATACTCGAAGAAAGGACCTAGAATTTGAGATAGGTGATCATGTTTTTTTGAAGATCACGTTTCTCAAAGGTATCAGTAGATTCGGAAAGAAGGGAATAGAAAGCTCTCGATTTATTGGCCCATTTGAGATTTTAGAGAGAATTGGAGCAACTACCTACCGACTAGCATTGCCCCCAGAACTATCTCGAGTTCACAACGTATTCCATGTATCGATGCTATAAAAGCACAATCTTGATCCATCTCATGTGATACCTTATAGGCCTCTTTCAATTTAGAACAATCTATCCTATGACAAAGTTCTTGTCACTATCTTGGACCGGAATGAGAAGGTGCCTCGGAACAAAGTGATTCCCTTAATTAAGGTATTGTGGTGAAACCACACTCGAGAGGAAGCCATTAAGGAGCTAGAAACAAAATTTCAAGACAAGTATCCCTATTTATTTAATGTTTTATAATTTAGATTAACTTTATGTAAGGATATTTTATATTAATAAAATAAATTTAGAGAACCAAATTTTTTCAAGGGGGAGAGATTGTAACAGTCTAAAATGAAGTCATTTTGGGAAACCCGAAAATAGTGTTGTTTTAGGTAAAGAAAAAAAACTAGAGGTGTGTTTGCCTTTAGTCAGGAAAGATGAAGAGGTAGAGGTGTGTATGCCTTTGCCACTGGCCGAAGAGGAAGAAGAGGAGATCTGCACGCCGAGGAAGAAGGTTGTGTAGGGCACTTCTCACTCCTCCCTATAAATGCAAGAGAGGGAAGAGATCAGTG